TATTTGTAAAGAGTTTTGTAAACCTTAAAATGCTATATAAGTGCAGGACATTATATTTTAAAATTTAATATTTATTTTTCCCCATTACATGTAAAAACAATTTTTAACATTTATTTTTAAAATTGATTTCCAAATTATCTCCCCTCCCAGCCCCATCATTGAGAAGACAAGCAATTTGGTATAGGTTATACATGTGTAATCATGCAAAACATATTTCCATATTAGTCATGTTGTAAAAGAAAACACAGACCAAAATAAAAACCTTAGAAAAATAAAGAAAGTTTAAAAAGTATGCTTTGATCTGTATTCAGACTTCATCAGTTCTTTCTGTAGGGATGGACAGCATTTTTCATGATAAGACCTTCAGTGTTGTCTTATATCATTGTACTCCTTAGAATAGCTAAGCCATTCACAGTTGATCATTTTACAATATTTCTGTTACTATGTACAATGTTCTGGTTCTACTCATTTCACTTTGCATCGATTCATTTAAGTCTCTCTAGGATTTTCTGAGAGGATCTAGCTCATAATTTCTTATATCACTACAGTATTCCATCACAATCACATAATACAAATTGTTCAGCTGTTCCCCAAATAATGGGCATCCTCTCAATTTCTAATTCTTTGCCACAAGAAAAGAGCTGCTATAATTATTTGGACATAGTTCAAAATTGGTCTACATAATGGTTGAATCAGTTCAGAACTCCACCAACAGCACATTAGTGTCTCAATTTTCCCACATCACCTTCAGTATTTATTATTCTTCTTTCTGTCCTATTAGCTAATCTAATAGATTTGAGGTAGTACCTCAGTATTATTTTAATTTGCATTTCTCCAATCAATAGTTATTTAGAGCATTTTTATATGGCTATAGATGACTTTGATTATTTCATCTGAAAATTGACTGTTTATATTTTTTGATCATTTGTCAATTGGGGGATGACTTATTTTATAAATCTGACTCATTCCTCATTTATTTGAGAGATGAAACCTTTATCAGAGAATCTTACTTCAATTTTTTTTTACACTTATGATTGCTAACAGTATTTTGCTCCATCCTATTTCTGCCCTGTTTATTCTATTCTCTCTCCCCTTTCACCCTGGCCCTCCTCAAAAATGTTTTGCTTCTGATTATTGCCTCCTCCAATCTACCCTCACTTCTATGAGCATCCTCCCTTCTCTTATCCCCTCCCCCTCCTACTTTCCTGTAGGTTAAGATAGATTTCTTTGCCCAATTGAATGTGTATATTATTCCTTCTTTGAGCCAATTCTGATGAGAGTAAACTTCAAGCATTCCCTGCCACCTCCTTAATCTTCCCCTCCATTATAATTGCTCTTCTAAGTGAGATAATTTGCCACTTTCTACCTCTGCCTTTCCCTTTCTCCCAGTGCATTCCTCTTTTTTACCCCTCAATTTTTAAAAATTTATTTTTTTGTTCACAACATTCATTTCCACAATATTTTTGAGTACCAAATTTTCTCCCCATCTCACCCCTCCCCCACTCCAAGATGCATTCTGAATACCCCTCCCCCTAATCTGTCCTCCCTTCTATCACTACCCTTTCTCTTATCCCTTCCCCTTCTATTTTCCTGTAGGGCAGGATATATTTCTATACACCATTGCCTGTATATCTTATTTCCCAATTGCATGTGAAAACAATTTTTAACATTTGTTTTTAAAGATTTGGATTCCAAATTCTCTCCCTTCCTCCCTCCCCACCCAACCTTATTGAGATGGCAAACAAATCGATACAGGTTATACATATATAGTCAGGCAAAACACTTCCATAGTAGTAACGTGGTGAAAAACTAACCATATTTCTCTTTATCCTACCCCACCCCTCATTTATTCTAATCTCTCTTTTGACCCTGTCCCTCCTCAGAAGCGTTTGCTTCTGATTATCCCCGTCCCCAATTTGCCCTCCCCTCTATCATCTCCAATCTCTCTTATTCCCTTCCCCTTATTTTCCTGTAGGGTAAGATAGCTTTCCATATCCAATTGAGCATGTATATTATTCCCTCCTTAAGCCAAATGTTATGAGAATAAGATTCACTCATTCCCTCTCATCTTCCCCCACTTCCCCTCCACTGTAAAAGCCTTTTCTTGTCTGTTTTATGTGAGATAATTTACCCCATTCTACCTCTCTGTTTCTCCTTCTGCCAGTATAGTCCTCTCTTACTCCTTAATTTTATTTTTAGATATCACCCCTTCATTTTCAACTTACCTTGTGCCATCTATCTATCTATCTATCAATCTATCTATCCACTATCTATCTACATATATAGTTTTCCCTCCATCTATCCTAATACTGACAAAGGTCTCATGAGTTATAAATATCATCTTTCCATGTAGGAATGTAAACAGTTCAACTTTAATAAGTCCTTTAAGATTTCTCTTTCATCTTTACCTTTTCATGCTTCTCTTGAGTCTTGTATTTGAAAGTCTAATTTTCTAATCAGCTCTGATTTTTTCATCAATAATACTTGAAAGTCCTCTATTTCACTGAATGTACATTTTTTTCCCTTGAAGGACTGTACTCAGTTTTGCTGGGTAGGTGATTCTTTGTTGTAATGCTATTTCCTTTGCCCTCTGGAATATCGCATTCAAAGCCCTCTGGTCTTTTAATATGGAAGCTGCTAAATCTTCTGCTTTCCTTATTGTGTTTCCACAATACTTGAATTGTTTCTTTCTGGCTGCTTGCAATATTTCTCCTTGACCTGGGAACTCTGGAATTTGGCTATAATATTCCTAGGGGTTTTCCTTTGGGGATCTCTTTTAGGAGTTGATCAATGGATTCTTCCTATTTCTATTTTACACTCTGATTCTAGAATATTAAACCAATTTTTCTTGATGATTTCTTGAAAGGTGATGTTCAGGTTTTTTTTATCATGGCTGTCAGGAAGTTCTCTATATATAAGTACACATATATATGCATATATATATATATACATTTAATTCTCTCTTATAGATCTGTTTTCTTGGTCAGTCATTTTTCTAATAAGTTACTTCTCTTTGTCTTCTATTTTTTCATTCTTTTGGTTTTGTTTTACTGTTTCTTTCCACTTGCTCAACTCTAATTTTTAAGGAATTATTTTCTTCAATGAGGTTTTGTACTTCCTTTTCCATTTGGCCAATTCTGTATTTTAAGGAGTTGTCTTCAGTGAATTTTTGTATATCGTTTTACATTTGGCCAATTCTACTTTTCAAGGCATTCTTCTCATCATTGGATTTTTGTACCTCTTTTACTATTTGGTCTATTCCATTTTTTAAGTTGTTATTTTCTTCAGTAATTTTTTTTTGTACTTCCTTTACCAAGCTGTTAATACTTTTTTTTTCATGATTTTTCTTGCATCACTCTCATTTCTTTTTCTAATTTATCTTCTACATCTCTTGATTTTTAAAATCTCTTTTGAGTTTTTCAATGGCCTAAGACCAATTCATATTTTTTCTCAGAGGTTTTGGAAGTAGGAATTTTGAGTTTGCTGTCTTCTGAGTGTGTGCTTTGACCTTCCTTGTCACAATAGTAACTTTCTATGATGAGAATTCTTTTTTTTTCTGTTTTATCATTTTTCCCAGCCTATTTCTTGACTTTTAACTCTTTTCTACAGTGGGACTCTGCTTTCAAGCTGGAGGGCACATTGTCTCAAGCTTCAGAAGTTTTGTTCAGCTGTTTTCAGAGATATTTCTAGAGACCTGTAAGCTTTCAGTTTTTCCAAGCTGGTATGTTCTAAGGAGATGTGTACATACTACTTTCCTGGCCTGTGCTCTGGTCTGTGAGAGACCACTAACACTCTTTATTCACCCAGGAACTGTGACGAAGGTCCCTGTTCCAATATAGCCACAAGCTCTGATATGCTAATGCTGCTCCTTGCCTTGGGACTGCCACTTAGGACTGCTGCCTCAATTTGAGTATGGGCAAAGCAACAGAATCTTGCCCTCCATGCTAGCAAAGAGACCCCAGTAATCTCCTTCTGACCAGTTATTTGACCCACTTACCATATGTGCACTGAAAGTTTTGGAAGCAGCTGCTACAGCTGCTGATTCATTCACTCTCAACAGTTCTAGCCATTATTAACTATTAATGATTCCATTCTAAATAACCCAATATTCTGTTCTGCTTTCCAGAAAGCAAAAAGATGTTTATCTTTTAGATAATAAAATCAGAGGATTAAAGTCAGAGTTTTTCTTGACAGGAAGACACAAAGGAAATTCATATTTTAAGGAATCTTTACCAGATTATATAATCCATCATTGAGCTACTAAAAGCATCAACTCATGCTATAGGTCTTTAAATTAGAAATTATAGAGGTATGTCATTGTTATCCTCATATATGTAACACATTATTGGCTACACAGATGACCTGTCTTTCCTTACTGATAACACTGCTATGGTATTCATGATTCCCTTAAAGACCCTTAAAATTAACCTTTTGTTGAAGAACAAAAAAGGACCTTTATTTCTATTTCTAATTGGTGCTCTGCCTTCAGGAAAACATTACAAGTTTTTCCTTCTTGGCAAGCAAAAATAAGTTTATAGGCAGTCCCACAAAACCACCATGATTTAATTTGATAAACTTGGGTAAGGAGATGTAGTCTCCTTGCCTAAGAATGTGAAATTTTTCTTTTGACAATTTGTTCTTTTTTTTTCTGAGGAACAAACAATATTCTAGCACCTGTGACAGGTTCCCCTAGCCTCACTCCCAGTGAATCTGATGAACAGACAGCTTGATGAAAGATGGCTTAGTTGTTTAGTAAGGATGCTTAGACTTAAAAAAAAGAGTTGTTTGGACCTCTATCTCCTAAGCAAAAATCAGATGCATCATTTAACCTTGATGTAGATAATTAAATGAGGGCAAGGATACATATGGTACATTGGAACTTAGTAATTTCACACTCATAAATAGAGAAAGCAGTTTTGTACAAAGTGTTTTAAGTGGGAGGTATGTGATATTGCATTTTGAAGGCTATATTCTGAATGCATTTAGTGTGTTTCACTCACCCAATACTGTGAGCTCTGCTGAGGCACTGATATTCTCATTTTTGTAGGTGACAACACAAGTGTATATCCCGGTATCATCATCTGTCACATTGGAAATAAGTAAGTTGCTGCCACCTAATAAAGAATACTTTCTGGACCTGTAACATGGGAAACAGAGGAACTTAGTGAGTCAACCAATACCTTTCAACACCTAGCAAACTAATCCCAGTCTTAAATTGGACTGAGTGAAATAGTGTAAAAATTGAAGCCCCAATCTTAAAATGTTGGAACAAGCCTTGCATCATTCATCTTATTTTAGTCATCTGTGTTATTGAACAAAAATGCATTCAGGGTGAATTATTCCCTTTGGATGACTATATGCAACTGCCAAAGAAATGAAATGGAACAAAGCATACCTAGCTGTGTCCCAAATTGCTTGAACATATCTAGAACTATAACTGGACAATGTATAGTGGGACATATTTATGTTTTCAAGGTCAGGTCACCATGAAAACAGATTCTACTCCATTTATCTTTGTTGTGCAAATCAATTTTAGCTTCTTGGTGAAATTGAAGGGATTGTGTATCACCTATTATCATGTCGATACAATGATCAACAAATATTTCAGACATGGTATCCAATTCATGTCATAAGGTGGGAACCAGATCTACTATATTCTAAGTAGAATTGAATTTTTATGCAATCCCGAGGTTTCTGCATTCTTGCTTTATGGTTTTAGAAATTGGAACAAAAGCAAATAGTAAACAAAATTCCTAAATCTAAATTACCTGACTTGGATCACTTCCTCTCCTCGAATCCAGGTAAAACTTGGTGGAGGATACCCAGAAACACAACACTCTAGAATGGCATCTTTTCCTTCGATAGCTACCACATTGGAAGGTCTCTGCAGGAAAAACTGTTGTCTGTGTAAACCTGGATCTATGAAAGGAAAGGACAGGGTCATCATTGTGGTGGGAGACACTGCAAAGATAAATGATATATCTGAAGGATTTCATCCTTGAAAGATATATGGATGGAAAGCAATGAGATTAAGTGGAAGGAAATTATCAAACACCAAATTTGAAGTAAGAACCTAATAGATTTTTCCATCTTCTACATTTCCAGTTTCTTAAGGCTCTCATTTCAACATATTTTGACAGCATGGTATATGACAGAGAGTATATCTTCAAAGCCCAATAGCAATGCCATTTTATGTACAAAAACACATTCATGCTGCACATACTGCATGAACATAACACATTAATTTGCATTAGTATGTATCACAGATAATGATTTAGAAAGAAAGGAGGTCATTGATACAATAAGACAGAGAACATATAATTTTTGATGGTGGAGAAAGGAAATGAATGGCCTCAAAGTATGGACCACTGCCCAGGGACAGTGTGCCTAAGTGATGTACTATAGGTAAGAATCCTGGGAAGTCAGAATGGAGGATAAGATGGCCAAATATAGGAAAGGAAACATTGCAGAGGAGAGAAGTGGATGTTCAAGGAGGCTAAAGTTAAAACTTGTTTTACATTATGAGTCTACCATGGGACAGGAATGCTGTATTTGATAATATAGAATCATAGAATCTTGGAGTTAAAAAGGTCCTCAGAGGTCTTTTAGTCTAACCAGTACCTGGACAGGAATGCTTTTCAGATATGTATATACATACACACACACATACATATATACACATATGTATGTATGTGTGTATATATGTATGTATGCATTAACAATTAGTGCATCCAACCTCCACGTGGAAAACTCCAGTGATGGTGAGGTCATTATCTCTTAAGGCAACCCATTTTTAAATTTTTTTTTTCTTACAGAGCAGGAACCTGCCTCTTTGCTATTTGCAACCATTGTTAAGTTGACCTTCTGGGGCCGTGTTAAACAACCCCTCTTCTACCTAGGGCCCCTTAAAAAAAAACTTCAAGACAGTTAACATTTCTTTCTGTGTCTTCATCTTTTCAGGCTAAACATGCTCAGTCCCTTCAAATGATCCTCACATTGTAAGGACTTGCATTCCTTTGTCATTCTTATTCTTTCCCATTGGACATTTCCAAGCTTATTAGAACCCTTAATAAAAATAGCTCTCCAAGACTGAAGACAATACTATAGATGATATCAAATCCAGATAGAGTAAATCAGTCTTTTCACCTCTTTTTATTCTGGACACTGTGCCTCTGTTAATGCAATATATGATGGTTAGCTTTTCTACCATCTTACCCTGCTGAGTCAGGGTTTTCAGGAAACTAAAATACAAATTCTTTTACAAGAACTGATGCTAGTAAATGTTCAGGAAATGGTTGATAAGCTATGGACAGAGACTAATTAAAGACCACTGCAGATCAGATGATAAAGTTATCAGTGAGATTAGTGACATTATTCTAAAGTATATCTTGTAAAAGAAATTTGACATTTTCTGTCTTTCCTCATCTGCTTCCAATTGGTGCAAAAAATAATAAGCTAAGTACAAAATGACAATAATAGAAGGATTTTTAATATGTGTCTTTCATTACTAAAGTAATATTGCTGAGGATTTTTTTTCAAAAGTTAGGTACAAAAGATCAGAATGTATTTTGCATTCATCTTGTGGAAGAAATATCCATCTCCCCAGAAATAGTAGCCTTAAGAAACGTAGCCTTCAGGGGCAGCTCATTGGCACAGTGGGTACAGCACTGGAGTCAGGAGGATCTGAATTCAAATGTGACCTCAGACACTTGAAGCTTACTAGCTGTGTGACTCTGGGCAAGTCTCTTAACCCCTTTGTCTAGCCCCGCAAAATATAGCCTTCAGGGTTGTATAAATAAAGCCAAACTCTTAGTCTGATTCCATCTCACTTCTGGTCCCATCCATGTATTTTAATAAGATTAATTAGAGACCTCTTGTCCCTCCAAAATAGTCTCATGAGATTAACTACAGGGACACACTCCCACCAGAACAAACTTCATCTTGGGTGACACCAAGTTTTCCCCAAAGATAAGACATTCTCATCCCAAATCATCAAATAGGGACATGCTGCACCTATTATTTGACTGTCCCCAAAAGGAAAGTGACTAAGCAGCCTCAACTGAGAGGCTCCTTTTGCATTCTGCCTGAAATCTATGTAATCCCCTGTAAGTGTGTATCTCACTCTGTTTTGGAAAGTTACTAGCCACCTGGCAGGTACATATTAGATGATGCTTATTAAACTCTATCTTTCAGCCTTGCCTCTTGATTTATTGACCTCCAGTCACACCCCTCCAGGAGGATTTTAGGATCTCTGGGCTAAGGAATACCTCAATAATCTTTAAGAAGATTTCTCTGAAATAAGTAGGAATAATTTGAAGGTAAATGTTTCTGAAAATCTTAGAATTAGATGTAGATTTTGATTAAATTTTATCCTTCTTCATGCTTATCTTTTGGACAGGGGCCATCAGGCCAGAATCTCCTTACCTTGACCAGCTGTTTTTCAATAGAATGATTTAAGTTACATTTAAGATTTGATGACTAGTCCTAGGAAGAAGGATAATAGGCAAGGCTACTTCTGTCCTCTTGGAAGTAGTTGGGGGTTTGTCACTTAAATAAACAAACCACTTTCAATGCTCTCTTTCTGTGACAGAACTGAGTGATAGGAATTGACAGTTGTTTCTGGCACCTAAAAGGGACACTTCACCTCAGGGACAGCCATGACTATGTCAGTTACTTTTTTGTTTTTGTTTTTTCCTAGATGGAAATAAATATGGTAAGCCCATGCTGAGATCTACACCTCATACAACAAAATTTATGAGAGACTGCTGGTCTCATTTCCCAAATGTTGTGCAAAAATCTATGGATTCTAAAATCTGAGAAGGGGGAAACAAAATAGGACTGAGAAAGGTATTGAAAAATCCTTTCACAAATGGTGGGAGATAACCTGCTGCTTTTCACAGAAATGGAAAAGTGTAAACAAAAACTTCCCTGCAGTCTTCTTATTTGGAATGCCAAGGGCCACTTTTTGCCACTTGCTAAGGTATAACTAATCTTTCTAACTACTTTGTTTTTTGCTTTAAAAAAGAGCTTTTTAAAATAAGATTAAATATGAGGTAGAAGAAGGTGCAAGAAAAATGAGGAAATAAAGAAACAATAATGACAGCATCTCTGGACAAATGTTTAAGAGCAAATAAAAGGTCTTCCTTTGAAAGTTTCACACATAGTATACATGAAAGATCTCTAGGAGGATACAGATTCTGAAATTCCAAGGAAATGACTCTCATTGACTTAATTGAGCTTTATGGAGACTTTTTTTAAATGATTATTAATGGCAGAATGAAATCTTTGGTAGTGTTGGAATATGGGCATTGTCTCCTCTACTGTTCTCAAAATTCAGATCAGAGTTATTGAATTTATAGATTATGAGCTGTTCACCCATAGTCAATGGATTTGTAGCCTATTTGAAAGCAGATAAGATTATAATACAATAGTCTATTCAAATTTGGTCATCAACTTATAATTGGGCTGGTGGCAAAAGTGGGCTTTTCTGATTGTGTCAGTTTTACGTTAAAAAAATATCAAATGGATTTCTTTAATATGAATCTGATATAATGGGATACCTCAAGGTACACACTCTTTCTAAATTTGGTTAAGAGAGATTGAGATTCCAAATACTAAAACCCAATTTAGCTTTCCTGTTTAGGAAGAAAACCTAGTCTGATTCCTTGACCTGATCTTAGTGTCATACCTCATGACAGTGTAACTAATCCTCTTCAGAGTGCCTGAATTATATGTGAACAAAGATAGAGAAATCACACATTAATGTGTTACTGATCTCTCAGTATACAGAGTACATTAAAGGATAGAACTACCATAGAAGAAGTTGTTACCTTTTTTTCCCCAGTGGAAATTCAAGCCTGGCTTGGTTTTATTGACAGACTGTGATGGGGCAAATGCTAATAATTAATTAATTAATAATTATAAAAATGAATAAATAATAAATTAAAAATGACACAGAAACTGAGACTCACCAAAGCAATTTTTCCACAACACCTAAGAAAACCAGTTTCTTTTCTCCTGGAGAATATTTTAACATGAGGTTTTAAGTCATTAAATTATGTATGTATGTATGTATGCAAGTATGTGTATGTATATGTATGCATGTATATACATATATATGTGGTGGGAGGTAGGTGGACATGTGCGTATATTGTATTTAAAGTAAAATACGTTCAACACATATGCATACGCACATATATGTTATATGTGTATATAAATACATACCTAGATGCATGCATACATACATACACATGTGTGTGCCTGCATCTACCCGTGGAGGTGAAGGACATGGTTTGTTTACTTATATATTTTTCATTCACTGAACAATTATTAAACACCTATTATGGATTAGGAGATATAATGACACAGATTAAGCAGTTTCTGCCTCAGAGAACTTAAGTTCTTTTAAAGCTTGCAGAGTTCAGGATTCTTCAACCAATAATGTTCAGGTACTAAATGATGCTCTAGTTAGTCATTAAGTGATGATGCTATTCAAAGCATGAATCAGTGACTCTCTCCTTGGAATAGGCCAGCCTGGCCACCGACTTAGCCCAGTCAGGAAGTTCACACACAAGAATAATGGGTCAGGAGATAAAGAATAATCAGCACAAACAAGAGAGAATAACTGGAGTGTCATGAAGATTAATTCAGAGTCCTTTGCCAGGGTTTAATCTTTTGAATACTTTGAATATATATATATATATTTTGAGTCCTTTTGAATAAAAGTGATTTTTGCAAAAGGAACACAAATTTAATGTTCTATACTGTTCATGGTCTTCTAAGAACAGAAAATTCAGAGTAATATGGTAGTTTACGTCAAACTTCCCACTTCTTCCATCTTTGTGCCTTTACACAATTAGATCTCCATGTCTGGAATGTTTCCCTCCTCTGGTGCCTCTTCCCTAATTCCTTTGCATCCT